AAAATTTTCATGCAAATTCATCACCATTCAAGTCACAATTTCTCTTTTAATTCATGACGATATGATAAACAGAACCACCCAGTTTGAACTCTCAAAGCTCCAGGTAATTGTAGATCTTAGTTATGAAAGGGAAGTTATGGTATATGGTTGTGGAATTATTGTGTAATAATGTTATACTATCTCTGCGTCAATTGAAATTAAATTTCCTTATTTATTTACATGTAGGTGTTATTATTTAATTTACTTTCATTTTATTCTTTTTAATTTAGAAATTATTTTACTTATAGGTTATTGTCTCACTTTCATTACTAAATAAATAAATATGTTATTTTACATTTCAACTAGTTTATCATCTAATCTTATTAAACACTTTCAATCAACCAAAAAATGTTCTTAATAAACTAAATATAATACATAAAAATAATTTATAAAAATAGCATCATTAAATACTTAAATTCACTCATAAAAAATAATATTATCATTTAATTTATCTATGATAATCTTAATTATTTTATTACAAATTTTTTTCTCTAAATTCATTGTTGACTCTAGGAATTCTGGTTCTCAATCTACGAGTGGTACACCCAAAAAAATTGATCCCACAGCAAATACTTTGGGTTATCAGGGAAGTTCTACCAACGCAACTGGTTCTTATTCTACGAGTGGTACATCCAAAAAAATTCATACCGTAACAATTCATTTGGGTCATGGGAAAAATTGATACCCATGTTAATACAACATGAAATGGCAAACAGGTAAGCCTTTTTTTTTTTTTAATATTTTTGACAAATTTCTTTGTAGCATTTATTCCTTTGCAATTATATCAAACTTCTTATTTGTTTTGTTAAACTATAATTGGGATACATTATCTTTTATGTGATTCAACCTAGTTGTCCAAATAATTTGGATTTTTTTTTTTTTTTGCTTTAGATTGTGTGGGATTGGTGTTGAGTTGAACCTATTATCATTCCTATTCACTATCATTTTTTTTTTCAGGTTTATTTGCCCGTGGAACATGTGTCGAAAGAAAATTTACAACAAAATTTAGCGTTGGTTAAAAATTCATTGATTGTGTGGAATTGTTTTAGACTCTAGTGTTTACAAATAAATTATTGTAAGTAGGGAGAAGTGCATATTAATTTATACTTATGGATAAATTGTATGGCTATTCGTAAATAGGTTGTGAATTTCGAATTCACAAGTACGTCTTTCTAAATTTCTATGTAAGTTTGTATTTGCATTTGATGGTTTATTAATAAATTAAAGCAGGATACTATCTATTTTCTTCTTTCATTTTTATCTCTCATTTTTTATTTTATTATTTTATTAAAGTGTATTAAATTAAAAATTTTAGGGCATAATTCAATATATATTATATATATGTGTAAACACCAATTTTTATCCCACTAATCTCTCAAAAATTTTAAATTAACAATTTGCAAGCTAGATTTAAACTAAAAAAAATACACAATAACTATCAGAAAAGGACAAATAGAGAAGCCACGGCAAGCCAAAGCGGGTCGAGCTTGTCGTGAACCTCCTACTTGTACGCAACCCACTTCGTCACCGTCAACTCACTCTCATTTTTCTCCGTTTTTCTCTGCTGTTACGCGAAATGTGGCTTAACGTCATTTATTTCCTTTTCCCCATTTTGTTTCTTTTTTTTCTATTCTTATGTCCTTTCTTATTTCCGTGGTGGGCTCAAAGTGGGTCAATGCCACTATTTCCTGTTTCTTTTTTTTCCTTTCTTTTCTTGTCTTTTTTCTTTTTCGTTTTTGGAACCATGCGGGCTAAGCCCATTTAGAAATCCCTGAAACTTTCAATCATTTCTTTCTTTGGTCTTTTCCTTGTTCTAGGATACGTAACAATTAATATGTCATTTAATCAATTTTTTTTTTGTTTTCTTTTTTCCAAGATGTGTAAATATGACTAGTAGATTTTACCTTACTTTACAGCAAAATTATTTACTTTATTTGCATCCATATATTGAGTTCTCATGTTACTTTAAAGATATGGATAATAGTAATTATTATTACTATTATCGTATCAATATTAATAATATTTCTCCTAAAAAAATAAAATAAAATAAAAAGAAAACAACAAAACAAAACAAATTATTTAAATGTGGCATTCCCCTAATCTTAGATGGTGGTATTTGTTCCTTGTTTTAATAAAATTAGTTTAGTTGATTTTATGTGATTAAGTTGTTTCTTTATATGAATATGTTAGATGTTTACATAATTTTTAATCCGTTTAGATTACAATAATAATAATAATTACCGTGATATTCTCTTATCAATATTTATATTCATAATATCTATCATTTTAAAGGGATTATTTGAATGTAACATTCTCTTGATTCTAAAGCTTAAAGTTGCAAGTTGTGACAATTTATCATCTTAAAATCTTTCTTATTTAAATTTTAAAATATAATTTATATAAAAAATATTACCACAACATTCAACATAAATAATCTAAGTTATTATATCAAAAATTTTATTGGAGGAATGGTTAATTAGATGTGACATCTTTTTAACTTTTGAATTTAAAGTACAAGTTGTGACAGCTTATCTTTAAATTTTTTCTCCAAAAACAAAAATGTCCAACCAAGAAATTTTTTAAGATCATAACATTTATAGCAATAATTATAATTAAAATTTTATTGAATTGGTTTCGGTGTACACCTTAGTCAATTTTATATACGTGACTCTGATTCTTCATTACACATGAAGATACGTAGGAGCAAGAACTAAATCTTGTCGAGCCAAAAAAATAAAAAAAATATATTATCGTCTTTTTTATATAAAAATACTAATTTTAACCTTTTTTCAATGCATAATTTAAATTAGTTAAATAAAATATATTTAATTATTTTAGGGAGATAAATATTTTTATAAATTATAAATAATTAGTTTAATTAATTAAAGGTAATTGTCTTAGGACGAACGTTGTGAGGTGCTAATACCTTCCTCACACATAATCGACTCCCGAACTCAGAAATTTGGTTTTCGTAGACTATTTTCCACTTTATGGTTTTTTCCAATGTTTTTCCGTAAAAAAAACAACATTGGTGGCGACTCCTCTTTTTTAATTTATTTTTCGCCGTCCCGTCCCGATCTCGGTTGCGACAATATGAAAATTCTTATGTTTAATAAACATACATCATATGCTGAGCACAAACCCCTTATCAGTTCCATAGAAATTTGCAGCATGGTTTAGAGTCATCTCAACCTTAAGCTCCGATATACCAGTTGAGAACGACATGCGCGGGCATGTAACATCCTTCTTCTTCGAGAAGTTTCCACCATCATACAAGGAAAGGGATTTATGAAAGGTGTTTTAAAGATGGGATAGGGTGTGGGAAGTGTTCATTGCTAGGAGGAGGAATGCAAAAGGCTACTTGTATGGATTTGTTCGGTTTCTAGATGTGCAGGACTGCATTGGGTTACAAAAACAACTGGATAACGTGAGGATTGGAAATGTGAAATTGAACGTCAATATTCCAAGATTTTCGAGGGGTGATACGAAGATGGGGAAGAGAGGGAATGCGGAATATTATCAGCGGGGAAAAAACAAAACCCAACAATATTCGTATGTCGATGCCGTCAAGAAAAAGGGTGCACGCGAAACAAAAAACAAAATACACTGAAAGTGGAGAGTGAAGGCGAACAGGGGTGCCAGTGATAGTCAAGTAATATCTGTCCTAGAGCAAGGAAATGAATGGCTGGACAAAAGCTGGGTGGGTAGACTGCAGAACATAGAAGATTTTGACAGATTAGAGGGACCAGAGATTCTCCATAACAATGAGTCTCTACAGTTGCGTTATTTTGGAGATGACATGGTATTGATAACCGGATTGGAAGAATTAGATATTCAAGATGCAAAGAACGGGGAGAATGGTGAGTTTTGGTCGTTGTTCTATGATGTAAGAAAATGGGAGCCGGATATAATGCCTCGATTCTGACTTGCGTGGGTTAGATGCCTAGGGGTGCCTCTTAATATATGGGGGGAACGGGGTTTCTCTCAGGTGGTATGCTCTGTGGGTGAGTTGGTTAAAGTGGACGCCGACACTAGTAGTTTTAAGAATGTGGAGAATACGAGGTTACTGGTTAAAACACCTGCTCAACTCCCAATCCAACATTATTACCGAGCTCAAATCAATGGTGTAAGGGGTCAAATTAGGATATTTGAAGAAATAACTGGAGTTCACCTAGATTGTAAATGTTATTTGTGGAGAAGGAACTACGAGACTGTGCAATCCAACGGATGCATAGGTGGTGGGGATACAAATTCAATGTCATCGGTTAATAATGGAGAGATGGATATGTTAATGGAGGTGGGCGTGGCCCAAACAAATGCATTGGAGGAAGAGTCACCGCCAGTGAGTTCAAATTCCTAGTTGAAGGGATTGTCAATGGTCAAGTGTAATTTGAAAGGGAAAGACGTAACCAGTGTAGAAAACAACATGGTCAGGTACGTAAGAGAAAAGTTACCACATAAGGGATGCGGCAACATTTTTGATGAGGAAGGACGAAAGGGGCCAGAGAATAGCGGATGTCTAAATGGTTCATTTGGCGTGGGGCGCTCAAACTTGATGAAAGACATAAACGTAGGTTTGCAGGGAAGCAAGTGTAGTCACATCAACATGGTTATGAAGGGAAATTACCATGATGACCATTCATATCTCCACGATCCGCAACCTAGTGGATTAAAAGATTAATTGGGCCAAATCCAGGATAGCCCAGTGAATAGTCCCTCGGGGAATCTAAGATGTGAAAGGCCCAATCAGAGAGAAAAGAGCCTCTCGTTCTCAGCTCAAGTGGAAGTCGTTAATGTCGAGAAGAAGGGACTTACGATGGAGACCCTTATTGAGGCATCGAGAGAGAGAAATGCGCGACAATTGAGCCCGACGGACAGCAAGGCCACAGCGTCAAAAGTGCATATGCTCACGGTTGTAACATGTCTAGGCAGCACAGGTAGTAGCGAAGCAATGACCAATCATGGTGTGGAGGTGGATTGGTGCACCAGACCTTAATCCAGGGTTACCCATCGTGGATGAAGGCGACTATTATGCATATGGGATTGGTGGCGTACAGATATTAGACGATGGAAACAAAGACAGCACAAGAGATGCATCTCCAAGGGAACCTACATGCATAGTACATCCTACTCGATCGTTCAAGCACCAAACAATTCGACGTCAGGTGAGTCATAATTTATATTCATTGAGCAACTCAATTTCTAATTCAAACGTCCTCAACTGTAATCAAATTTTCTAGGTCAACTACGAGATATCTGAGGTGTCGAAACAGTGGGAGAGGGGGAAACATTTGTGGGTTACCTTCAAAGGTGATGAAGGGAGCATAGTCGAACAATTAATTCATGAGACTTGAAGGTAGAGATTTGAAGTAGAAGTTGGTATTACAACACCAAACACACAAAGGGGAACTCCTCCGTGATTTATGAAAATTATCTCCTTCAATGTGAGGGGCCTCGGTAGGGAGGTGAAACACGGGGTCATAAGGAGGATTGTGACATCTTTCACATCCATTCAATATTATATAACTTAAATACATTTTTTATTATTTGTTGTTATTTTGATAGCAAAATTTTGACATTCCCAACACTGAGGTCATGAGGAGGAAGATGTTATCTGCCCTTGCCACCAGGTGGAGAGACTTCAAGACTTTCTTGACACGGGAGTATGTATTTGGAGAGCG